GTTTCCAAGGGTGCTGGGACACTTTGCTGGAGGTGCCCAGAGCTCCGTGTGTGGCGAGTGACTGGGAGAGTGGAGAGAGGTCGAGGACATAGACTCTGGGCTTAGGTTGCCTGGGTTTAAATCCCGGTTCCACTTTCCAGCGGGGCCACCTCCTGAGGCTGGAACTTCAGCCGTGTGTACCTCAGTGTCCCCATCTGGAACCCTCATGAGGCTGTTGGGAGGTGCAGATGAGTTGGTACAAAGCCTTCATGTGGCAGCTATTATCCACATGTGGCAACTTAATTAAAATAAAGTTAATCCACTTCCTTGGTTGCACCAGCCACATTTCAAGTGTTCAGAAGCCACATGTGGCTGGTGACTATCACATCAGATAGCACAGGTCATAGAATATTTCTGTCCTTGAAGAAATTTCATCAGACAGCAGGAGGTCAGGGTTCACGAGCACTCTATAGAAATGTGTGATCTCAGCAGTGTCCCCTGCGGGTCCTTTCTGGGCAGCTGCCTGTCTAGTGAGAAGTGTCCCCCAGCTGCCTCCCTCCCAGGCTGTGTGTCGGAGCCAAGGGCCTTGAGAGGAGGTGGCAGCTCCCAGCCCAGCCCTCGCTGCACCTGCCCAGGTGTGCAANGGCCTTGAGAGGAGGTGGCAGCTCCCAGCCCAGCCCTCGCTGCACCTGCCCAGGTGTGCAAGGCTCCGCTTGCTAACGTGTGAAGTCATCAGACTATCAAAGTGCCACAAGAAGGGATATGTCCTTACATACCAAGGGTGGAAAACAGCGGGTCTGAGAGTTGGTTCTGGAGTCAGACAGACCTGATCAAGTCCTGGCTTTGCTGCTGGCTGCTGTGTGACTTTGGGCAACTTAATTCACCTCTTGGGGCCTTGGGTTTCTCATGGAAAAGGGAGAGAATAGCAGTCTATGTCACAGAGTCCCTATAAAGAATCAGTGTGACAAATTTCTATAAGAGAAAGTACAGCACACTGCCAGGATTCGTTAAATGGCAGCGATCTGCTAATCCCCCAGCCTTCAGATCCGGCACTGTGCCCTGCACATGCCAAGAGCTCAGCAGACATTCATAGGGTGAGTGAAGGAGCCTGTTTCCTTTTGCACCTGACCAGGCAAACAAAACACAGCAAAATACCCGGCTTGTCTCGTATCTCTGGAAACAAAAGGAGACAAGCTGCGTGGGTGTGGAGGGTCCGCAGTGCGCTCAGGCCACGGGACGTCCCGTAAAGGTGCTGCTGCCTTTGCCCTGCAGAGTGGAGAGGCGGTGTGTGTGGTGAGGATGACGGGGCAGAGTTGCTGGTGTTATAAAATACATGTATTATTTCCACAATCTTGTATTACGCAGCCGAGAAACCTACAATGCGCTTACTAATTGGTTAACAGATGCCAGAATGCTAGCAAGTCAGAGCATCGTGATCATCCTCTGTGGGAACAAGAAGGACCTCGACGCCGACCGCGAAGTCACCTTCCTAGAAGCCTCCAGGTTTGCTCAGGAAAACGGCAAGTGACCTGTACTCCTCCTGCTTTTCAAGTAGCAGATCTGGGGGTCATGAGTTTAAAAATCTGCTGGAGCTGCAAGGTCAAACCACGTTTAGGAAACGTGGACCCTCCTGTTGTTCTGGCTGTAAATTCAGACTTCTTTAGCGTATTTTCACTACAGGACGTTCTGCCTACAGGAGTTACTGTCATGATAAAAGCAAACACATTAACATTCTGTAATGACTTTCAGGCTGTGATCTTTGAATATTCGAGGTCTTGGGTTAAAGCGGAGTTTATAACAATAATTTTTAAAGGCCCTAACCAGATGATGTCGTCAGTTTTTAATGTATTTTGTAGCAAATTGGTGAGATGTTAATCCCTATAGAAAGGGAAGCGGTGGAGAGACACCTGGCTTGTCAGCTTTATTTTACTTCCACTGAATTTGAATTATTTGGTTATAGTTGACTCTGAAACTTCTCTGAGTTTCCATATAGAACACCTGAGAATGCCGTATGAAGTAACGGTTACTTATGGGTAACAGAATAATAAAAATTCAGCCATTTTAAATAATTGTAATTTTCAGAACCAATCAAGAGCTAGAGTATCCTGTATCAATATTTGATTGGCTTCTAGAACTACCAAACTATATTGTTATAACTCGCCTGGTTTTCTGCTAAGGAAATAAACATGAGAGAAACACGGCAGTTTGTAAAGAAGCTGTTTAGACATGCAGAAGCGTAGAATGTTAAAAAGCTCACAAGGAATTCAGATGCCATTTGAATGGACTCCCTCTTACAGGAGGTGTGGTCTGCCTGAGAGCTGGTGGCCGGGCCTGGCTCTGGAGGGGCAGTATTGACTCACGTAAGACCACCTCATGCAGCTAGGTGATGCTGCAGTGTTGTCCCCTAACGAGTGTGGGCGTGGTAGGTTGTATCTGTGGGGACGTGCAGCTGTCTGGAGAAGGAAACAGCTCCTTCACCTGAGATGGGCAGTGGTCGCTCAGGCCAGAAGCCACGCTGCTCCGTCAGCCCTTCCACAGATGGAGCGCTACCGTGAGACGACAGCTGCGTGTCAGAAAAGTCTAGAAGCCTTCGAACATTTAAAAAAATATATTGGCATTTTTTTTTGTCTTTTGTCTTTTTCCGTGTCTGGCAACGGGATCGCAACCCTCGGCGTTGC